GTTAGGACAGTGTGTAAAGCTTTAAAAAAGAGAAATATAGAGCTGATTGACGTTGACGATGGGAGTCTTGTGCTCTCTACGTGTGTTTGAGTTTTCATAGTAATAATTACAAAGGAGGGGGAGGGGGAGGGAGGGAGAGAGAGACAGAGACAGAGAGAATGAACTTGTTTCTAGACACACACAGAGTAGATGTTAGGCCTCTAAACAAGCTGCCGTACTGATTTGCAATCTTCTCTAGCGCCATTATCTCTAGTGTTTCAGTGAGGGCAGCGATGGCTCTGCTGGACCTCCACTGACTCTCCTGCCCTTCTCTCCTGGGCTTAGCGGCTTGGAGGGCACCATCATAATGGGAGCCACAGAGGATCCCATCATGTCTTGGCCATGGCTCCTCCAACCTCATTGCCTCTAAATCCTCCTCTTCTCCTGGACCCTGTGTGAAGTCTGTAATCCCCCTGGCCTGGCCTGACCCCTGCTTGACCTCCCCTGGCATCAGGGTCAGCATCTGATATTTCATGTTGGATCCAAAGTTGTTCCGGAATTGTTTCGTACAATCAGTGTCATTCTCCAGCAGGTTTCAGCACTGCAAGCCTTACACTCCGAGAGGTTCTACACAGGCCTTTTCCACGATGAGTAATTCCCAAGCTCATTCATGTGTCTGCCACCCCGGATGCCCTCTCCTCTCCCCTGTCTCAGCACCTGTTGTGTGCTGGATCCTGGGAACAAGATAGACTGAGTCTGCTGCATGGCTCTTCATGACAGAGGGAGAGGTGACATGGGACAAATGGTTACGCAAGCTGTTCTTGACATCATTGGGAAGGGCTGGAAAGGCAGCCAGCCACAGGAGATACAGTGTGGAGCTCAGGACACCTGACTGGGAAAATCAGCAAAGGCTCCCTCAGGAAGCGATTTTAGAAGGAGACTTAAAGGAGATGCAATAATCTGCCTTCAAAGGAGATGAGGAGCTTTCCAGGCATAAGCCAGCTCCGAGGGAAAGGTTGGGGGAGGAACCTCACTACCAGTGGAAGTTCTAGACACGATGGCATGTAGAGATGAGGGTTGAACATAGGCATGCCTCCTGAATAGAGATGGATTTTGAGCGTCGTGAGTCCGTGGGAAGCGGGTTGCTCATTCTTGTCTGTACTGCACGGTTTCAGTAACAACCCCCCTGTATATACGTTCCTTTGCAGAGAGATCTCCCTCTACCCAACAAGCAGCAGAATCTGCTTCACTCTCCGTTGAAGCTGGGCATAGCTATCTGACCTCTGACCGAAGGGAAGATAACGCATGTCATAGAGGCAGAGCTGCTGCTGGGGACCCTTCTGCCACTGTGGGAACAAGCCTGTCTCCTTGAGAACAAGAGGCTCCAGCTATATGAGACCCCAGACATGAACGAAGCCACCCTACACCACCTGGTCCCACCCAACCAAACCAGTCCAGACCAGAACCATCCACCTAACCCATAGAATCATGAACTTCAGTAAACTTTGCTGCCAGGGACTGAATGACTGTGTCCACCCTCCCTTCTCCCATCTATGGTGTTGGAATCCCTCCTCCCATGGTGGAACTAAGATCTTTGGGACTTAATTGGATTGGATGAAGTTATAGAATAGACACTCCTGGGAGGGTATCCCAAGCAAGTTTGTTCTTCCCTTCCAGCAGGCAAGGACACATCTATGAAACAGAGAGCCCACACCAGATGTTGAAGCAGATAGCATGTCAGCCCTGGATCACTCAGCTTATAGAAACACCCAGATAATGGCATTTTGTTATAGTAACCTGAGCTTGGTCAATTAGCTATTTCACTTTTAATTTTCAAAGATTTTGTTTCTGATTTATGTGTATGTATGTTTGTCTGTGTGTGATTTATTTTGTTTCTGACTTGTGTGCATGTGTGTATTGTCTGTGTGTGATTTATTTTGATTCTGATTTCTGTGTATGTGTGCTTGTCTGTGTGATTTATTTTGTTTCTGATTTATATGTATGTCTGCCCAGCTGTCTGTCTGTCTGTGTGTCTATGCATGTGTGAGGCCAGAAGACAGTGTTGGATGTGCTGGAGCTGGGGTTACCATGAACCTCCTGGCACAGGTGCCGGGAACAGAAATGTCTGGAAGAGCAGCAAGTGCCCTTGGTGAGGGATCTGCCTCCCTAACCTTGGTTAGCTATTTGAATCAACAAGTTTGGGGGTGAAAAGTGAATTGTGACACTACCCTGGACTCTTATGGACTGCCTCCCACTTACAGACAGGTAAGGCACGTGGTAATGAGTGTCAGTTCATGATTATAGGCCAGCTGGAGGAGCCCTATAGAAAAATGACATGGCTGACTTCAAAATGATAAATTTGGGATTGAGAGATGGCTCCGTGGTTAAAAACACTTGCTGAACTTGTCGAGGACCTGAGTTTGATTCCCAACACCCACATTAAGTGGCTCACAACTGCCTGATTTCAGCAGATCCAATCCCTGTGGCCTCTGTATGCATCTGCATTCATGTGCTCGAACATATGTAGACATACACAGACACACAGACACACATACAATTTAAAATAAAATACGGGCTGGAGAGCTGGCTCAGTGGTGAACTGCACTGGCTGCTCTTCCAGAGGACCTGGGTTCGATTGCCAGCACCCACATTGTGGCTCACAACTGTCTGTAACTTTAGTTCCAGGGATCCAATGTCTTCTTCTGGCCTCCAAGACATGGTCTGTACAAGTGGTGCACAGATATACATGCAGGCAAAAACACCTACACATAAAATAATGTAAAACAAATCTGAAAATGAAATAAATCTTTAACGTTTTTTCAGAAGGAAACCAAGTACTAAAGGTGAAGTGAATGTTACCACAAAGCAAGGGGAGCAGAGAATGTGGAGGGTCAAGGCCGAGAGCCTTTCCTTGGGGCCTGGAGCTTCAATTTGTCTTCAAGGAAAGATAAGGTAATGCTGAGTTGCCGAAGAGGAACAGAGGCAGGACTTCCCACAGGAAGGATGTAAACCGTCTGCAGGAATGTGGCTAGCACTCTGACTGGACCAGAGCAGAGGGCCTGAGGAAGAGAGCAAAGCGGGGTAAAGCTTGAGGGGGGGAGATCATGCCATAAAAGATGGGGACCTGGAGTTAGAATTGCCAGATTTAGAGACTGGAGAGATGACTCAGTGGTTAACAGCACTTGTTGTCCTTGAGAAGACCTGGGTTTGATTCCCAGCCCCTCCACAATGACTCACAGCCACCTGCAACTCCAGCTCTGGAGAGTCCAACACCTCTTCTGACCTCAACAGGCATATGTGTGGTACATATGCATACATGCAGACAAAACACTTAGAAAAGAAGATAAATCTAGAACTGCCAGATTTAACATGAGATGGAAATATAGACTAATCAGCAACATTTGGAACATACTTATACCTGGAAGTTTTGCTTTCTGAAATTAAAATTTAGGTGTAAGTATTATTGTTTATTTGGTAGCTCTTGCTGGGGTGAAAAACTCAAATGCTACAAGGGACTGGGAGACGGACTATGTGAAAACCAAGAGAGAAGCTGGGACCATTAGGTTTGGGTGTGGAATGTCCCCCACAGGCTCATGTGTTTGAACACTTGGTCTCCAGATGGGGGCGCTGTTTTGGCAGGCTGTAGAACCTTTAGAAAATGGGACCTCACTGGAGGAAGCGGGTTCCGGGAGGGCAGCCCTTGAGGGTTATATACCGACCCTGACGCCCTCTGCTCTTTGCTAACTGACCATCGACCCAATGTCATGACTGCCTCATGCTCCTGTCCCAGCTGCAAGGGCCCAGGCCTTGCTCACCACTAAAGACTCTTGTCCCACACACCATGAGCCCAGGTGAATCCTTCCTCTTTGGGTCCCTTTTTGTTTGTTTGTTTTAAGACAGGGCTTCAGGTAGACCACACTGGCCTCAAAGTTGCCGCATGGTTGAGAATGACCTTGAACTGACCCCCATGCTGCACCCTCCTGAATGAGAGAATGACAGGCATGTGTCATCACGCCCACCTCTTAAGCTGCTTTCTTCCAGGGATCTGGTCATAGCTTTAAGAAAAGGAACCAGACTGTGACAGAACATGCAAAACTTGTTCTGCTTAAAGATAATGGCCCCTGGGCTGGAAACATGGCTCAGCAGCTAAGAATACTGACTGCTTCCAGAGAACCAGGCTTCAATTCCCCATACCCACATAGTGGCTCACAGCCATCTTCAACTCCAGTCCTAGGGGATCCAAAACCCTGTGGGCCCAGGGCATGCACGTGATGCACAGATGTACATTCAGACAAAACATTCTCACATCTAAAATTTAAAACAAACAATAACAACAACAAAAACCAGACTAACTTTGCTCAGTGGTTAGCAAAATGAAAATGCAGGTGAAATATTTTCAACTTTTCCATTTTCCAAGAGAAACTGGAATTTTGGATTATAGATCCTAATTATCTAATATCACTTGAATATTTCCATATTTTAAACACTGTATAAGCCAAATAAAACCATGTTTGTATTTAGCTTGAAGACTGCTTTCAATCTTTACTTTAGTGGGCAAAAATGCCAGGGTAGAATTTTCAAGTATGCTCGTGCATGTAGAAAATGCAAACAGAGGAACTAAGGTCAGCAAGAAGGCTTTCCTCTTCTTGTGTCCCCTGTATCCTGTCCTTCTCCTGGTTAGGCCATCTGTGTGTGCACACATGCTGAGGATTTTGAAATTTATTCCGTAATCTAGAGGATGGAGCAAATCTCTCATCTGAAAATTCTAGACACTCTAGTGGACTTCATGTGTTTGTGTGCTATGTGTATACAGAAACGCATGTGAGTGTTAGAGTCGGAATATGAAATGTGCCTGGTAGGCATGTGTGCTGAAGGCTTGGCTCTCAGCTGACCATGCTATTTTGGGAGTCAGTGGAAACTTTAGGAGGCAGAGAACCTGGAAAAAGTAGGTCACCCGGGGGTGTGCCTTTGGAGGGCATCTCGTCCTTGGCCCCTCCCTGTCGCTCTCCCTGCTTCTGGCCAGCAGCAGGTGAGCACCCCTGCTCTGGCACACACCCTGCCCAAGCTCTTCTTCATCACAGGCCAGGAACAATGGAGCCACTGAGCCATGAGCTGAAACCCCTCAAAGCAGAAGCCCAGTGAAGCCGTCCACCTGTAAGCTTTCTCTCAGGCGTTTGCCTGACTAACAGAACAAGGGTGGTCATTGCTGTGGAAAATTAGAAACATCTGACACTTGTTTTAAAGCCTGACATGAACTGTGGGATGGTCTCACGACAGAATCCCATCACATGTTAAACTAGGTAAATTCATTACCGAGATTTCAAAATCATCAGGTGAGAACAAAAAACACATAAAACAAAATCTTTGTCTCTAGGGCCAAGCATGGTGATGCATATGTTTAATCCTAGCACCCAGGAGGCAGAGGCAGGAAAATATCTGTGAGTCTGAAGCTAGCCTGATTTACGAAGAGTTCCAGGCCAGCCAGAGCTACATAGTAAGATCTTGTCTCAAAACAACCAATCAATAACAAACCAACCAATAAAAAATCCATTGTCTCGGGTTGGGGATTTAGCTCAGTGGTAGAGCACTTGCCTAGCAAGCACAAGGCCCTGGGTTGGGTCCTCAGCTCCGGGGGCGGGGGTGGGGTGGGGTGGGGGAGCCATTGTCTCTATAATTCACTAACTCAAATATAACATGGACCACAATCCCTGCTTGGCAGGAGTTTGAAGAAAGAGGCTTTGGAGTTCAAGGCTAGCCCAAGCTACACAGGGAGACCCTATCTCAAAAACAAAACAAAAATAAAACAACCACCACTACCACAATGCAATGGGCCAGTAGAAACTAACCCAGCGCTGTTGGTTTCCTGTCTCTGCCATAACAAAATAACACTTACACAGCAGCTTGAAACAGCACATCGTGATCTTGAATTCTTGAGGGCAAAAATCTGCGAATGGCTCGGCAGGGCGACTTTCTAGGAGAACCCTTGCCTTTCCCACATTCAAGAGGCAGCCTGTACTCCTTGGCTCTTGACCAAGACATGGTTTGAATGTCTCCTGAAAGCTTTGTACTAGACACATAATTCCCGGTCCACAGCAATGAGAGGTGGCCCTCTGAGAGGTACTTGAGCCATGAGCGCTCTGCCCTTGTGAACAGGCTGCTGCAGTTGCCTTGGGAGTAGATTAACTCTTGTGAGAGCTTCCTTTCCCTCAGCCATGTTCTACACATGCTCTTTCTCTCCTGTGACATTCTCCACTGTGGTGATGATACAGCAAGAAACCCCTTGCCAGATGCTCGCCCCCAGGCTTTGGACTTCCCAACCCCCAGAACTGTAAAAATAGATTCCTGCTCGTTATAGATTACCCCGTTATAGCTACAGAAAACGGATGGAGACAGCCACGTCATACCAGCCTCTGCCTCATTGTTACCAACCTCCTACATCATCGTGTCTCCTTGGACTCCGGCCCTAACTAGGACCCTCCAAGGAAGACACCAGGTCCACCCAGGATGACCTCCCCATCTCAAAAGGTCTTGGCTTAATCTCGTCTGCAGAATACCCTTGTCATATAAGACAGTGTTGGCAGAGCAGAACGGCTCACCTGATGGTGGCCACGGAGCTCGGAGAGTAACAGAAAGGGGCGAAGATGTTCTGACGGGTTTGGGAGCACTGTTTGCTCATGGCAGATTTAATATGGAGAGAAGGAGGAAAGTAGAGCAGGAGATAAACAAAGAGAACTTGAACTTTGTCTGGCAGGTTTTATTTCTTAACTTTAGGAACATCCCAAGACAAGTGTGTAAAATTACAATTCTCTGATAAGGAGCAGTAGTGGTAGGTGTTGGTTATATTGTCCGATATACTGTCCTCTGTTAAGATTTTCCCAAAACGTTCAAACAGGAGAAATGGGCTTAGGAGAGAATTTTTTCCCTCCGACTTCCTATCTACACAATGTGTGTTGAACTACTGAGTGGATCTAGAAGAGAGGCCTCGACTTTCATCTCGAGAGAGTGTAGGGCCTTAGTTTTTTAGGTCTGAAGGGACCTTGGAGAACAGCTGGGGGTGTGAATAAATCTTTATATTTAAAAGCAGTAGCGGCTCCTCGGAGTGCCCTCGACAGAGCACATCTGCCCTTTGGCCCGTCTGTTCCCTAATGCTTTCGTCAAGGCGTGCTTTCCTAATTCCTGAGTCTGCTTTGTGTGTGTCTGTCTTTTGTTTTACTTTCATATTTATTACATTTCGCTGGAAAGGAAGGGGGTGGGAGTCACACACACACACACACACACACACACACACACACACACACACACCCAACCCCCCAAGGCAGGCTCTGTCCCAGCGGAGCTGTGTAACAAAGGCTGGGCAGCTCTCAGAATCCCCGCCCACAACAGCGGAAACGTGGGGCCTTCATCAAGAGGCACAACTAACCATCGCCGAACGCTCGCTTGGCAAAGTGCTTTGTCATCGCTTCTGGACAGTGTCAGTTAGGAGGCTTTCAAAAAGTTTCTATCATCTCCCATCACTGGGAAAGGGAGGGCAAAGGGAGATAAACACAGAAGGAATGGAGAGGATAAAATAACAGTGAGATGTCTGAAAAGTCATAACTACCCACCTTGAAAAAAAAAACCCTACAATACACATAGATCTGTGCATAAATATACATACATGTTTTAATGATTTTGTCTCATCTGGGCCAATAACACCCCTCTGAGAGCCAAAGACTATCTAACAAAACCCCGAACCTGGCATGAAAGCCCTCTTCTGAGTTGTTATCACTGCTGTCCAAGGGTCTCCCAAAACATTACAGGTTATTGCTGTTGACCTTGGTTGCCATCCGCCCCCCCGCCCCCCCAGAGGTGGAAGGTAAGTCCTATTGCTGAAGGCACCGTACACTTCAGACACGGGTCTCAGAGGCCCCTGAGCTGAAGCTGACTGAAAGCCTCCTCCTAAGGACCAGCTTCCATGATAGCAAAAGGGGCCAGGCAAGCTTCCAGAGGAGAAAAGACACCAGCTGTCCTACCCAGCGATGACACCTAGGGATCACAGCAATGGCCAGCATGGCACAGCAACCTTAAGGGTGCAGTGATGGTGCACACACCTTGGGGTACCCAACAGTTCACTCAACAGTCATGCCTGCTGCTGGGAAGAGAGCCAACCAGAGCTAGTGAAGTCATGGATCTTGAAAGAGAGTCGGCAACCACCACTGTACTAGACCGCCATGATCCCTAACCACACTCTAAACATTCATCCTTTTACCCACAGGTAAGGGTGGTCCTCACCCTTCACCAAGGAAACTTCTTTTTGTAACAGATGGAGTCCATTGCAGAAACCCACAACCAATCAAAATGCAGATTTGTGGAGCCCAGTCCCAATGGATACATCTGCAAAACAACGCGCACACACAAGGTTCAGAGATCACTGTGGAAGAGGGGGTAGAAAGATTGCAAGAGCCAGAAAATCAGGGAATTCGCTGAGTGTGTCATCTAGTAATGTCAGAAGTTACATCCATACAGTGTCACCAACATGCCTGCCCAAATGTGAGCCAAACAAGGACAATAGTAATGACCGAGCAGATGGGAGAAACTCATGAGACCTCCACCCCACACAAAGAACTACAGGTCACTAAGGAATGCTGAGTGGGAAACACAGTCTCCCCAGGGAAGAGCACACCAAATGGTCAGCCTTGAAAATGTACGTACAAGTAACATTCTAAGGACCGAGCAGGTTGCACTTACGTATTTAGGAATATATCTGTGTACACATGTATGTCTCTAGCAACAACTAATAAGAAAGAGGCCATGAATTTTAAAGAGCAAGGAGGGGGGATATGGGAGGGTTTGGAAGGAGGAAAGGGCAGGGAGAGACTACATAATTATATTAATCTCAAAATAAAGAAACTAAAAGACTCCCATCAGTACCCATCAGCTCACTTGATCTCTCTGGGAAGAGAGACATTAGGTCAGTGTCCTTATATCAGTGTGCAGGCTCCAGCACAGGAGAGGAAACCAGGGACAGACCTGTTGGCCTCTTGAAGTGGACATTTGTAGGTAAGTCTTTAAAGACAAGAAAGGAGTCTGTGTATGCTGTTCTGAAGCAAAGACCAGTGTTATAGGGCCCTGTGGCCAGAACTAGCCGGCTCCTGGAGACAGCTGTTGTTAGAAAAATGTCCTTGTGCAAGTCTCCTAGACAGGACCACTCTGCTGCATTCTCGAGAATTCATCCAATGCTTCCTTGCCTGTTTCGTGGCCTCCAGGCTCCATTTTATTAGTGATTGATGTTAGCAATTCCCTTCAGATACTGACAACTTTCACAGCCCGCTTCGGGGCTAGAAAGGGATCTGGCATACATTTGAGTCTCCCTTTCAAGCAGATGTGCCTTGAAGAGGACTTTGTAGCAGTGTGCTCTCCAGGTCCCAATGCTCTCAGTAAGACAATGGAAGACTGCATCTGTTGAATCACATATTTCTTTATCTTAAAGCAGTCTTTCTGGGATTCCATGTGGCTTCCTAAGACATAAACACACAGTAAAAAAAATAAATAAATGGCATCATAAGAAACCAAAGCACCATGAGTGAGCATCAACAGAACCAGAAACAGAAGCATTGGATCACAAACAGAGCAGAGCTGCCGACCAGGATACAAAGTGAACACACTTAGTCTTAGCAGAAGAAAAAGGTGAAGAAAGGAAGACACTGAACTTGTAGTCTCTAAAAAGCATGTATTTGTTACATAAATAACATAATGATAGGTACACGTTGTAAAGACACAGGATGCAAAGAACGTAGCGCCAGCCTTGACTATGTGAGGCCCTGTCAGGACAGAAAAGAAACCACTATTTACCACAGTGTAGAACCAGGAGAAGCAATCCTGTTCTCTAGATATGGTAATGGCCCTGCCCAATGGATGCTAACAGCTCCTCTCCCTGCCCTAGAAAAACCAGTTGAGCATTCAATTCAGTATTTCTGATCAGTTCATGTCTTTCCTTCAGGTTCCTGTGAAACACCTGGGACACTGCTGATGAAGCCTTCCTATCTGGTGAGTCTGTGGACACGAGCCTCGCTTAGCAGGTGTCCTAATCGAAAGCCTAATTGAGAAGTACATTTTAGAAGTATTTATTGGTGCTGGGGTTTGAACTTGGGGCCTTGGAGTTGGGGACTTGGCTTGGTTGGTAAAGTGCTTGCCCGGCAAATATGCAGACCAGAATTCTATCCCTAGCACCCATGTAAGATTGAAGCAGCACAGTTTGTAATCCAAGCACTAGGACGGCAACAGGAAGCCCCTGGGGCTCCATGGCCAGCCAATCTAGATAAAGTGCTGAGCCTCAAGTTCCAGTGAAAGACCCTGCCTCAAAAGCAGATGGTTCTCAAGGAACACTTGAAGTTGACCTCTGGCCTCCACACAGGTGCACGAACATACATTCTCAAGCATGCGCGCGCGCGCGCGCACACACACACACACACACACACACTTGTGCACATGCATACTATTCAGGGCTCTAAGGCTGAGCTGCTTCTCACCTCAGGAACACACATTTGTAACAAGTGGCGAGTCCCCGCCAGTTCAACGGTAGCCGAGCTTCAATCAACCACAGGTGGCCAACGGAGTAGGTCAAACTCAAATAAGGGGAGCACTGAGCTGTAACCAGTCAAACTGTCTGTGTACCCCACTTCCTGACTCTGACCACAAAATGTTATCTGACCAGGTTAGCCTGTTCTAGTTCCGAGGACTGCCTGGTTAGTGTTTTTTTTTTTTTTTTTTTTTTGCCTTGGATAAACACTGTTAAGTGGAATTTGTCTAAAGTTTTTCTTTTCTTTTCTTGCTGCCCCCTCCTCTTCCTCCTTCTCCGTCCCCCTCTCTTCCTCCGTTTCTCCCTCCCTTCCCCTCCCCTCTCTTTCCCCTTGAACTCTGACCCTCCTGCCTTTGCCCCCCTTCCCTGCAGGACTGGAAGCTGAATCGGGGCTTTATGTGTGATAGGAGGCATTCTACCAACTGAGATACATCCCAGGCCCTAAAGTTTTTCTTTTAATAACACACATGTAGCTGTGCCGTTGACAACACAACTTGGGAATCCTTAGCACATTTTCATTTTATATCTGTAATGATTTTCCTCTCACCCACAAGATTATCCTGTAACAAGACATAAAATGAAATAGGTTGAAAAGACTCTTTCCTTTTCTTTTTGCCTTGATGATCTGGGAGGGCAAGATGGGGAACAAGACATTACCAAGTTCCTGCTGTCCGTCGGAGGGAGCCTCCCTCTCCCCTGGGCAGAGTCCGTGGACTGCCTGAGGCCTGCTCCCAAGTTGGCATCAGGCCCAACCTTCTGTGGTGCAAGACTGCCTGGGTTCAAATCAGGACTCTGCCTCCCAGATCTGAGTGGTGGGGCCCAGAGGGGTAAAGAGGGTTGGTTGCCCAAAACTTCTGTGCCTGCGGGTCCTCATCTGTAAAACCGAGAAGACTTAGAACTGGGACTATGGAGACTATGAACTGAGGAGCCTGGGACTCAGCTCATCTGCATAACATGCATGAGGCACAGGGTTTGATCCCTAACACCTCCTAACATGGACATAGTGGCACACGTCTGTAATCTCAGTACTTGGGGGAGGGGCAGGCGTGGAGGCAGGAGAAAAAAAGGTCAAAATCAACCATAGCTACACAGCAAGTTCAAGGCCATCCTGGGATAGCTGAGACCTTGTTGGAGAGAGACAGACAAAGACAAAGAGACACACACATATACAGGGGAGAGACAGAGACCTGGACCAGAGACAAGAGGGATTACTTCTGGGTGTCTGAGGGCAAAATGTGGGACATGGGGAGACACTCGCCACACCGTTGGTGAGGCTTCAGAATTCCTTCCGACCTGGCTGTGAATCCTATGTGTGATTTGTAGACTTGATGTTGAAGGCTGGACTATGTATCACATGCTGCAAATTAGGAGTGAATGGACGACATCAAAGAGGCTCCTCCCTCGGCCAGGCAGTAGAGAACACCACTGACACCACCAGTCATCACCGGGCTTTCCTCCCCTCCAAAAACACCACCCAGTTGGGGATGAAATATCTGTTAGGCCAATATGAAGATCCTAAACATCCAAAAAGAGCAATTGGATGTTTTTTTAAAAACGTTTTACTTAAGTGTGCCGCCATACGGCTGTGAAGGTCAGAAGACAATTATGGGAAGCTGGTTTTCTCCTTCTAACACATGAGTCCTGGGTACGAACTCAGGTTGTCAGGCTTGGCAGCAAGCGCCTTTACCCACTGAGCCATCTCATGGGCCACTAAAAAGAA